AACCTTCTGTGGAATCTCCCATCTGGACTTGGGAGAGTCTAGCCCATATACTGTGCAGATGTTCCTGTATACAATGCTAGCTACTTGGTTGTGCATTCAATGTATGCTGTCCCTGCCTGCATCTTACGCTCTGCCACTATGTGTTGGACTATCTTTGAGGCCTCTCTACACAGTCTGCACCTTGGGTCCTGTCTAGTGTGGTAGATCCCTGCTTCTGTGGTTCTGGTGCTTAGTGCCTGTTCTTGTGCTGTTATGATCAGTGCCTCAGTGCTGTCTTTTAGTCCAGCCCTTCCCAGACACTGGTAGGATTTCCCAATGTTAGCCACCTCAGCTATCTGTTGATGGTACATCCCATGCAGGGTCTTATCTTGCCATCTTTTACTATTTTGTTTTTGTCATTCACACACACACACACACACACACACACTATATATACAGGTAGTCCTTGCTTAACAACTGTTTGTTTAATGATGGTTTGAAGTTATGATGGCCTTGGAAAAAGTGCTTTACGATCTGTACTCACACTTATGACCGTCACAAACCATCTCACCCCCCCAGTTACGTGATCACGATTTGTGACTTTTACAATGGTCATTAAGCAAATCACTATGGTCATTAAGCGAATCATGTGGTCATTAAATGAATTCCAGCAAAAAAGTCCATTGGGGAAGCTGAATTTGCTTAACGACCATGTGACTTGCTTAATGACATGATTCATTTAACAACATTGTAAAAAAGGTCATAAAATCGGGTCCAGTCATGTGGTGACTCACTTAACGACCACCCTGCTTAACAACCAATTTTCCAGTCCCAATTCTGGTCATTAACCGAGGACTACCTACACACACATGCACGCATACATATACACACAGAATCATTGGAAGTCAGGTGATTTATAAATTTAAAAAATAAAATATCCCTATGCCAGGGGCACTGTATCCATAATACAATGGATTCTATAATAACAGAATCTTGAAAGCCTGGCAGAAATTCTGTCTATCCCCTCTTATAGTAAAGAGAAGTGGTGGAATCTTGATTTTTTTTCCTCACCCATTCCTGTCTATCTAGTCTAACCTAATGTTTATATAATGGTTGTTGACTTCTTTCTTCAAGGCCATCCCCATACCCCTTTACACTTCTGGTAATGAATTCCATAGGTTACTTATGCACTGTGTTAAGAAGTGCTTCCTTTTGTCTACAGTATTTTAAATCTCCTTCCAATCAGTTTGATTTATCTCTTGTTCTCTTGGCCCCTGGTCTTATTGTTTTGAGACGTGGAGAAAAAGTTATCCTTGTCCACTTTCTCTATGCCATGCATGATTTTATGCACCTCAATTATGTCCCCTTAGTTGCCTTTGTTTCAAGCCAAAGAGTCTTAAACATTCTAGCCTTTTCTTATAAAAAAAGGTATCAGCTTCCAAATCATCTTGGTTGCCCTCTTCTATACTTTTTCTATTCTATTATTTTTCAAATATGGAAACCAGAACTGTACAGATAGTACTCCAGAGATGGACATACTATAGATGTGTATAAGAGCATTAAAATATTGGCATTTTTATTCTAGTGTCTTTCCTAAAAAAAGTTAGCACAGGATTTGCCTTTGTTACAGATGCTGCAAACCAAGTTGACATCTTCACTGAATATCCACTCTGATCCCAAGAAAATCTTTTTCCTGTTAATTATGACAGTTCAGACCCCATCAATAGTATTTGAAGTTAGGTTTGGGGGGTTTTTTTGGTTCAGTAAGATAAAAATCATAACCAATTGTTGCCTTGTGGTTGAAGGGGTAGTCTATAGGAGGGATTACTGGCTCATACTGCATCCCCATGTCTCAGCACCTGGGATCCCACTGTAGCATCTTGCTGGAATAGTTAGGAAAAGACAAATTATTGATATACCAATACTGATAATTTGGAAAGCAACTGAAATCTGCTGTTACAAAACTATAAAACTTCAACGTTTTTAATGCATTTCTTGTTTTTAAATAATTTATCTCTACTCTTTCCTCAAATTGGCTCTGGGATTTCATTGCAAAATAAGAGATAAATGTTCACAAATGCATGGAAAGAAACATATGGAACATAAAAGAAGTGAATACTTAGCAATATATTATACTCATACTAGGCTCTCTGACATGGTTGTGTTAAAACACTATCCACCAGTCCTTATCTGCTGCTGAACTAGAGTGTTCTCCACCATCCTTGAGTCACCAGAAAA